ATAAATATAGTATTTAAACTTGCATAAAATAAAGGGAGAATTTCATGTAAGGATCTTAGATAAAATATATTTTTAAATCAGGTCCAATATAATTTGAAATTTTATTGTAGGATGTTGGACTTGAATTAAAATAAATTATAAAATAAAATAACTAAAATATCCTTATTATAATATGCTGCAACGAAACAAGTAACATAAAAAAATTAACAAATAAAACATTTAATAAATAATATAGTTAATTTTACAAGTTGTGCTAATAATTTAATAAGTAATAAATTTAACTTGTCACATAAACTTCACAAGTAAAATTATGGAGAAAGCAAGTAATGTAAGGAAATGAATAATAGTTAAAAAAATTAACAAGTCTTCTTAAAGATTAGTAATCATGTTATCTACAATATACTGGATATAACAAGTAAAGTAATGGTGTTAATTTTACAAGCAATAATAAGTGTTTAACAAGTTACATATTTAAATCGCTGCATGGATTTCTATTATTAATAAATTATATTATTTGTTAAATAATTTACTTTACTCTTTAATTCTCTTATGTTACTTGTTATACTGCAACATACTAAAGAAGAATATTTTGGTAATTTTGTTTTAAGATTTTATTTCAATCTAGGCTTAAAATCCTATAGTGAAATTTCATAATATTTTGGAACTGATTTCAAAATATATCACATCCACGATCTTTAGATAAAATTCTTCCTAATATAAATGTGAGTATTATGCATCATATTAAGGTTTAAAACTATGCCTTGTAACTCATAAATAATATGACTGCATACAAATTTTTAAAATCTATCTGTATAAATTGTAAAAGAGGGTTTGAACATTGAAGTTTAAGCTATAGATGGCACTTCCATCATATCTTTATACACACGAACACTTAAATCAAATCTTTATTTACATGAGTTAGTCTCAAGTAATAAGAGTGTGTGTATATTTGTTATATTGGGAGAGTTTGAATCATTGTTCCTCGCTCATATCCCACCCAAGCTAGTCTCAAGTGGCTAGAATAGCATGTGTATTATTTATTTTAGGTTAAAACATATAAAACCTTTTTTAATTTTGAGACAATTACATATAACCTTCCCTTATTTTTAAAAGTTTAAATTAACCTTTAATTTTATTTTTCAAAGCCCTTACTGTTAATTATATTTTTTTTCATAAGAGTTAGAATGTCATTTAGTGAAAAAAAGTTATTAAACAAAAATATTATATTGTAGAATTATTTATTATGAATTTTTTATATTTTTTAGATAATTGAGGCATTGATAGCCAAAAAGATATTGTTATCACTGTATAAAATTTTAAATATTTATGTTTGTATTAGTATTATCCATGTTTTTTTGCTATCAATGGTATATAGTTTTATTGTTTTAAATGATAAATTTTTATTTATATTTTTATGTTAGATTAATGTAATGCTCTAGGTTAGATTAATTTATTGTTTAATACAAGAAAACTATGTACCATTAATAATAAAAAAATAGATAAAATTAATACAAAAGTAAATACTTAAAATTTTATAAGGTTATAATAACATTTTTTTTGGCTATTAATGTCTCAACTATCCAAAAACTATAAGAAATTGATTAGCCATAATTTTATAATATAATATTTTTTAATTAAATGACATTTTACCCTTATGAAAAAAATAATATAATTAATAGTAGGATGCTTTAAAAAATAAAATTAAAAGTTAGAAGGATTAATTTTAAATATTTAAAGATGAGAGGAGTCATGTACAATTACTTCAAAATTTAATGGGGAGTTTTATATATTTTAATCTTTATTTTATGAATAAATATGCATTTTTTATCTTCAATTTTTAATAACCAATTATCGAATCCAATCTAAATCAAATAAGATTCACTATGCACAAAAAATAGTTAAAATATATAAAACTCTCTAAATTTTAATATAGTTACACATAGTTTTCTTTATCTTTAAACATTTAAAATTAATCTACCAAATTTTTTATTTTTTTAAAGCCTCTTGTTATTAATAACTCTGTTATCTTATCAACATAGTTTTTCACATCATATTAATGAGGTGCACATAGAATTTGACTTGAAAAAGTTATTTTTATTTTTAAACACAATTTTGATAAATAATCATATAAGTACAAGTTTATTGTTTAAAACAAGAAAAATATGGCACTAATGACCAATATATATATATATATATATATTTATATAATTTTTATAAAGTTACTATTAACTTACATAAGATGTTACATAAGCTAGTACATGTCTTTTCTAAATAAAACATACCAGTTTTTTTGTTAATACGATAATTAAGAAATAATAATAAGGAATTCTATGGTAAAAAAACAAGAAAAGTGGAGTTCCTCAACATTGAGGGAAGTTTTGTATATGTGTTTTTTAAAAAGATTAAATTGAATGTACATAAAAAAGATTAAATTGAATTATTTTAATGAAAAGAATAGGATCCTTAAGTAGAAATCATAGAACATCATTGTCATCATTACATAGGCCTCATTTAAATCCAGTGCATGTATTTATTTATCTGATTACAGACTTTCTTGTTAGTAGTTGAATGAATTTATTGACTTTGCCTGTTATCATTTTCATTTTAATTAATGATGTAGGAATGTATGGTCGATATAGGCTCTTATTAATTTTTTTTTTAGTTCTCTGTTCAATCTTTCTAAATCGACTTTCACTAAATATCACATCTGGGTTCGCAAAAATAATTTAAATCCTTCAAGGAAATAATAATAATGATAATATATTCTTCTTTTTAAACCCTACAATAACCGTTCCTCATTTTTTAAAAAAAATCACGCATTTTTTTAGATATCAGGTGACAATAAACACTCGGGTATAGTATCCTAATGTTCAAGATAAAAAGTTTCATCCATGCTATTTTAGGCAATATTTTATATACTCTTTAAAATTTATTGAGATACACTAACATGGTTTAAGTTTGAGTTTATTTAAAAGGGGAAAAAAAAGGAGCTATGATAATTTTGTACTTCTAAATAGATCTATCCAACAGGATTTGTGTTGTTGAGGCAACATTATGACAATTAGACTAAATATAAGCATTAGGCCAATTCTAAAGGATTAAACTGCATAGAATTTCTTTAAATTTTTCATTACTTGTGGATAAATTTTTTAATCTTTGAATTTTGCCAACAAACACTCCTAAATTTCAAGTTGTCTACATATAATTGTGCCACAAGCCTCACGTATACGTGTCAATGTTAACTAATGCCATGAGATTATCTAAAATTCAAGAATTTAAAGAATTTATTGTTTAAGTTTTAGTATAAGAGAACAATTGAGGTTATGGGCATGTTTTGATTTTATTCTCTGTTTTTATGTTCTCAAAATAATTTTGTAGAATAATTTTGCAGAAGAAGTTTTGGGAAAAAAAATGTTTGAATCAGTATTTTAAAAACATATATAAATTAGTGACATAAATGGTGAAATAATAATTTATTTTATTAACATAATTGTCTAAAATATGTTCCAATTTTTTAATTATGTGGAATAATTTTTAAATTTTTTTTTAGACACAAAAATTTAAAATATTTTTTACATCGATTAAAAATTTTTTTACATCAATTTCAAATGATGTTGATATAAGAGATGTAAAAAGTCAAGAATGCACATTTTCAAACTATCCTGAAATAAAAAAACTGTTTTAAAAATAGATTATCAAACAGGTCCCACATTTTCTCTGCCTCAAACTATAAGATACTTTTAGACTAATTCTCATATATTAATAAAACTCATTAAATACACTTTACAATTTTACTTTTTCAATACAAAAATATAAATTTTTAAAAGTGCTCGTTATTTAATACTTTATTAATAAAAGAATATTGAAGAGAGAGAATATAAAAAAAGAATAATATTAAAAAATTATTATTAACAAACCTCATTTTTTTAAAAATATTTTATATTTTGAAATGATGAATTTTTTGTAAAAATATTTTTTTAATTTGAAATGGAGAGAGTACTAATTATCTCATATCCATTACTATATATTAATTTTTTTATGAAATACTATATATTAATCTAGATTCAAGCACCATGAGATCTAAACAGTAAGCACTTTCTTCATACTTTTTCTTAAATAAAAATTTTTAAATTCTCGATCTTATCGTCAAATTATTGACTCTTTCCACTCAAGTCATTACATACAAGAGGCTTAAACCTCATATTCACATTGACGAGTAGTATGTGAGTCATAAATAATATTTGCTATTAACAGAAACTGCTATTTTTAAAAAAAAAATTAAAGGATATTTTTATACTTCAACTATTCATTTAAAAGCATATAATATTCTAAACTTTTGTGTATTATAATTTTTTTTTAACTTTTAAAAATGATGTATTGAATACCATATCTTTTAAAAGTTAACTTTTATTGTTACTTGATTTTGAAATTGTAGGAAAGGATCATAAAACTTAAAAAAAACAAACACCTATAAAATTAGATATAACTGTGCCTTAAAAAATTAATATCAATTAAATCTTTTAAATTACTTGTAAATAATAGGTTATAAAAGTTATTTTTTATTCACATAAAAGGTCAAAATATGATTTTGACCAATAATTATTTTAGGAATTTAGTCGGCATTAATTTTCTTACAAGGTATTTTTTTAAAAAATTTTGAGCCATTTTTTGTAATGTTTTTGATCAGCTAAATGTTAGAGTTAAATTTTTTTTAATAATAGCAACATGTTCAATGTGTCATTTTTAAAAGTTAAACGAAGGAATTGCAATGTATAAAAAATTAAAATACTAAGCATTCTTGAGTAAATAATTGAGGGATAAAAATGCTATTTAACTCAAAAATTTATTAGAAGAGCTTTACGCCTTTTGTCTTATTTGGTTCAACTTGAACCAATTGGAGCCGGATATAATAATAAGGTAGTTTGATACCAAAAATATAATTTTTAATAAAAGGGGGCAAGGTTTATAAATTTCATATAACGTTGAAATGGCATGATAGTGGAGAGAAAGTAGAAGTGTTGCTTTGTGTTGAAAATGGGTGAGAGGATGGCTCATGAATTGCTCTCTCTGCTTCTTCTTCTTCTTATCCTTCTCAACTACTTGTTGCTTTCATTTGCAGAATCACCAACCACAGCAAAAGAGGATGGTGAGTCCTCTTTCATCAGTTTTCTGATCTTCTCTTCTTTACTTTTCCTTCACTTGTTCATAAAACCAGAACAATTAAACATTAATTTCATAAACCATCTTTAATCCTACCTTCATATACAAATGAGCCTTTCGCTGTAAGACTCTGTTTCAGAACCATCTTCTACCTTCATAAACCATTTCTTTTATATAAAATTTGATAGAATATCGACTAAAGCTTGAAAAGTATTCAGTAAATTTAACTGACCAGAACTTGGTAAATTTGATGCTTCTCATAGCTTGCCAAGTGCAGGATTGAGATTATAACTTGTTTATTGAAGCGAGTTTCGAGTTCAGAGATAAAAAAAAGTTTGATTCTTTTTTTTTTCCCCGACCATAAAAGTTCGATTCAGCTTATCAATATGTACACCTATTAAACTATATACTCTTTTTTATCTTTATTATAAGGTACCATTTAGAAGAATTTTTGATATTTAATATAAGGCATCATGAAGGCGATTTTATTACTATTTTTCAATTTTACCCATATTGTAAATTTAACTTTATGGCTCATCATATGTGCTGTGTCTCTCTTTCTATTTTTTAATTGGGGTAAGGTTGTAATTGTCTTCAATCTAAGACTTATTCAATGAGTTAATTATATTTTTTAATTCAAGTAAATTATTTGAAATCGCCTTATAATAAAAGCTGGAAAAAGAATGGATATATGTATATATAGTATACCTATTCATGAGCTGCCTTAGTTCTACCTTAGTAACGTCAAATTCATGCCATTAAAAAAAAAAAAACATCAAATTCAGAAATTCTTCGCCTTTGTGCATGGATGGCTATCTCAAGAAATAAAAGTTTTTCATTGTTAGTTTTTGGATCAAGTAGCATCTATGCCTTCTGTCATTCTATGCAAGCTAAGTGTCAAGAGGTCCCCTTGATTTTACTCTCATTTGATTTTCTTTTTTCTTTAAAAAAATTATTTCTTTTTTATTATCTTATTTTTCAAAAAGTATATTGTAATTGATTTTATTTGAGTCAAACCACAAAAATACATCTCTTCATTCCTTGTTTAAGGGAATTATACCTCAAATTGTCACTACTTCTTCATCCAAAATTATAAGACAATTTAAATTAAAATTGCACATATTAATAAAATTCAATAATTATACTTTATAAATTTATTTTTTAAAAAAATTATAAATTTTTTAAAAATATCTCTATACACTTGATCATTATGTTATAATATTATTTTAATTTTTTTAACCTAAAAGATAACATTAAAAAAATTTATTAATGAAACCTTATTTTTTAAAATTATTTAATAGTTTGAAACAATAAAATTCTTCAAAAATTGTAGAGAGTGTAATAGAAGAATTATTTTTCAAATCATCCTTAACTTTTAAATTTATCTGAGATTTTTTTTTAAAATGGAGCCTTTTAACTTAGGGAAGGAAAAAAAAAACGTTTTTAAATAGATTATGAATGTTTAAATCACCCAAAGATTAACAATTAAAAATTATATTAATTAAAATCATAACAAAATTTTTAATTCTTTAATTTTGTCTCAATTATTAATTTGGTCATTTTTATTTTTTTAAATTATTATGTGAGTCTTTAAGTTTAAAGTACAAATTAACTATCAATATAATTTAATGTGTAAAGTATATTGATAACTTGGCATGCATATATAGTTAAATTAGACCAAATTGACCTTCACATTAATTTAATTTTATCAATATAATCCCTTACCTTGTATTTTGTTTTTTTGTTTTAAAAAATTGAAAAGTCTGTATTTTACCTAAAATAATTATACTAATTTTTATTAATTCATATTACTACTATTATTATTCTCTTATTCAAGTTAGTAAGTTTTAATAATGTAACTTCTTTTCTAAACAATGAAGATCAAATTGATAATTAAAATAAATTTAAGGGATTAAGTTGATAAAAATTAAACAAAAGACCAAATTGATAATTGGGATAAATTTGAGGGACTAAATGTGACATTATCCTTTAATTAAAATAAACAAACTACAAGAAATCATCTAGACATGACTTTTTTTTTAAAAAAAAATGATTGTTTAATTGCTCTGGTCAAAATGGTTTTTTTTCTGTCAATGCTTGACTGTTAGAGGATAGTAATTCTTTCACATGTCAAGTGTTGGAACCAACATTGAGAGAGGAGAAAAATAATTTTTTTTTTGGATAATTTAGAATTCGATCATTTAAAAAAATAATTAAATCATATTAGAAAAATGCAAATTACGACCCGGATTTGACTGAGGCCAACTGCCAAACAGACAAACAAGAAAAATAAAGAAAACATGAATGAAGTTCTTCCCCTTCACCATCTTGCAAGCACTGTCAAGAATCAATGACGGAAACCTACATTTGAATTCTGGACTGAATTATGATGCAGTGAATGCCCTCAATAGTCTGAAGAACTTAATGCAAAAAGTACCCCAAAGCTGGGAGAGTTCGGATCCTTGCAATGGCTGGGAGGGAATTACCTGCACCCAATCACGTATTACTTCCATGTAATGTATCTCTTCTCTATCGAATTCTCACTTGAATTGTCTTCCTGACTTTACTTCTTTCCTTCTGAAACTGAAACTTCATTGCAAGTATTTCAGAAAATTAGCAGGCATGGAGTTGAATGGCCAGATTTCTGCAGATTTTGGACTCCTCTCTGAATTAAAGACTCTGTAAGTGGATCACCCTTTTCTACAACTTTCTTTTTCGGTTTTGGATGACAATGTAATCGCACAATGATCATTTTTCAACTCATTTCATACTTCTTTGTGAACAAAACGTGGTCTCCTTCAAGTGATAGGCATACCTGGTGATAATCCTCTTTGGTTCCCCAAAATATGTATCATGCTGTTTGATATCTTTTTAAAGAAGTACCTCACTATCACACATCTAGAATAAAAATTTTACCAAGATATTTTGACTAAAATAACCGATCTGTATTGCTGCAAAATGGTATTCCTCTTCTCCTTCTAATTTGCTCTGAAATGGGAATTGTTTTTTGACCACAATTGTTTTGCCATAACTAGATTGAGTAATGTGCCAGGAGCTTGAGGAGCAAGTAAACATTGCCCCTTGCATGAGATTATTAACACACACACACACACACACAAATTCTTTATATTCTTTTTTATCTTGTGATGGGACATGTCAAAAAATTTTAAACCAAGGATGTTGTATGTGCTGCAATACTCCTAACTACACTTCATCTCTATTTTTATCTGTATGGATCTTAACTCCATCCTGTGTATTATAGAAGTAATCAGTTTTAATGCATGCACAGGTATATGTTTTATTCCTGATTTTCCTATTTTGTAGGGATCTCTCTTACAATAAGAACCTAGAAGGACCATTTCCAAAAGCAATTGGAAATTTGAAGAAGCTGGAGGAATTGTAAGGAAGTATTGCTATTGTTAGGGTTATTACACAAACATGGATGTGTCTAATAAGAGATAAATAAGCACTAACAAATGGAGATTTCTCATTTATCTTCCAGATTTCTTGTGGGTTGTGGTTTCACTGGTCCTATTCCGGATGAAATTGGATCGTTACGAGAGCTTGTCTTTTTGTAAGATTTGTTTTAACTCTTTCATATGATAAAAATTATTGCAAAAGTTATGTTTTCTTCTTGGCCTGCATCATTTTCGTTGGCTTTACTTCACTCCTACTCGCTTGTTGAGGTTAAATAAGTGAAAAGTTGTCATGTTATAGGTTGGTTAGTACTATGTTAAATCGTCAGTTCCATTAAAAAATTTTAATTGTATCCTTATCAGTATAACTAAGAGATAGGTACATCTAAAAAATGTGTACTATTTGAATTTATATTCTCTTTGTATCACCAGTTGAGGATAGGGACTGTAGCTCACTACTAACTGAAGGAAATATAGACTCTGTTGACATTTCTCATCTTCATAGCTGCAAAAACCATGTCTTCATTACTTTTTTTTTTTTTTCCAATTGTTCTCTTATGACATGTGGTTGTCAAATTATACAAATTAAATCAGCAACTTCATTTGCAGATCTATAAACTCTAACAGCTTTAGTGGAAGAATTCCAGCCTCCATTGGCAATCTATCAAAACTTGAATGGCTAGACTTGTCCGATAATCAGCTTGTTGGACCTATCCCAGTATCAAGTGGAGCTACTTCTGGTTTAGACATGCTACTTAATACACTGCACTTGTATGTCAGTTCTCCTATGCAATAGTTTATTCATGGTTTTCTTTTACACAATACTGGTTTATTTCATATGGTGTATCTAACATATGTCCTTTGCCAAAAGTCATCTTGGGAACAACAACCTATCAGGAGCTATTCCTCCGGAACTTTTCAGCTCAAATATGGCTCTGATACATTTGTAAGTGTCGATAACTATTCTGGTTTAAAAATCTGAACTGTCAAGTGAAGGTTCGTGAATAGTTTTATTACCTCAAACACATCCTTCATTCGATGGCCCCTTTGGCCCAAAGTGTGAACAAAGCATAGTTATCAAGAGAATGGGATGCAGCAAGAGTCCCACTCTAGACCAATCAGTCATAGGTTCGAGTTTACGTGAAGAACCATTGTAACTAAAAATCTTAAGCTATTAATGGGGGACTCATCAGTAATAATATTATAATATATAAAAATTATCCTAATTTTTCTCATCTTGGCTATAAATATTCAATCGAACAATTAGACACTACCATGAAAAATTGGCATTCAGCTTCTCTAACAATAAGATGCACTTGTCAGAAAGCAATGGATCACTATAGTACTTTTTGGGATAACTTTCTTTTTACTTCCCTCTATTTCCCCTCCTGATCAATTGGTAATAAATAAATTAAATTATAGGAAACACCTTTGGACTTTCCCGAAACTACAGTGACCCTCCCTCAAAACATAAATCAAATTGCACAGACCTCCCATCAGTTTTGCTAACTGTGCACCCAGCTGTCATTTTGGCAACCAATGCAACTTACCTTAGAAAGCTTGAGTGGCAGGAAAGAAGAAAGGGGAAAGAACGCTTACATAACGCAAAAACAGAAAGTGAAAACTAGAGACAGTAGTAAAATATTGAATCAAAATTTATGAGGATATCTTCTTTTTGTTAGCCTGCTGAGTTAAGAAAACATTTTTTGGGCAGGATCTTGAATGACAATAAACTTACTGGCAGCATTCCCAAAACACTTGGACGTGCTCAAAATCTAACGGTGGTGTAAGTGTCCTGGTTACCACCTGCTCAAACAAATTCATTGACAGAAATATTCCTAATGCATTTTCACAATAACATTCTTCTGCTGCTACAGGCGCTTGGAAAATAATTTTTTGACTGGCTTTGTACCTGAGAACCTGACAAACCTCCGCAATGTTACAGACCTGTAAGTTGACATAGACATCTTGCCAAATCAAAACGTGCTTATTTCATGTGTATTATTAGCATCTCCAGCCGAAGTTTCATAATTGTTCATCAAGGTTCTTGGTTTTATTTATGTTTGTCAGGATATTGTCCAAAAATAATCTGTGGGGTACCATTCCAAACCTCAGTGGAATGACTGCCCTCCAGTATCTGTAAGTACTAAGTAAAGCATATATCTCTTACGTTTGTATTTTTATCATCTATCCAAAGTTATATATTTTGGTCCTCTAGACTATTTTAGCTCCTCAAAGTTTTACCATCTCATTTTAGTTCTCTAGACTATTTCGTCTTCATGTTGGTGCTCGGCCATGGCATGTTTAAATGGTAGCTGAGCAACTGACATTTGCATTGGCTTCACATTAAGTCAAGGCGCCCTTCTCTATTGATTGAGTTTAACATAATGATAATATGGAAGATAAAACACTCTTTGGAGTGCTAAAATGAAATCAGATTTACTTGAGGACCAAAATGTCAGTTCACTTATTTTTGTGGTACTGGCTAAGTTTTTGACATCATTCGTGTAGGGATATGAGCAACAATAACTTCGAGCCATCCGAATTTCCATCATGGCTTCAAAATTTACAATTTTTAAAATCACTGTACGCTTTCTTATTTCACTTCTTTCTCACATCAGTTCTGTCTGTGTGTGTGTTTCTGTAATTTCAACACTCAAATGCAGTTAGCTCTGATTTTTTATGACAGAATAATGGAAAACACAAATCTTCGAGGGAAGATTCCTGCTGCATTTTTCAGTCTAGCCAATTTACGGACTGTGTAAGTGCCAAATTATCTAAACTAGTGATACTTATGGTCATCATAGGAGTAGTGTCATCCGTGACGAATATTCTGCATGTGATCTTAGGGTTCTGAAAGACAATGAACTCGGTGGAAGCTTGGACATTGGCACCAACTACAGCAAACAACTGAAACTGATTGATTTGCAGAATAATAGTATTGAGGATTTTAACAAACAAGATGAAGCCTCTGGGATCACAATAATGTAAGCATAGATGTTAACGGTTCTAGTCATTTTTCAATCTTGTGTTGCATAGGTTATTTGATTATATCTGACAACTTTATTTTAAGAATAAGTTATGCATACAAAGTATGAAAACAGGTTTTCCTGAATTTGGCTGAGTTAAATGGTAATATGAACTCTAAACTATAAACTCAGGAGTAATTTGAACCTGAGTTCATGTTTGATACATTTTGAATCCTAAACCATTAAACCTGTGACAATTTAGGCCCTGTTGATAATTTCAAATAAACGTCCGTTGTCTATGGACCATTTAATTTTTTCCCTCTCCCTATCTGCTCTCCCCTCCCTCCCTCCTCTCTTACGTCCACCATCTCTCTCCGTCTCCAACTGTACGTGGCGGGAGCGCTTGCAGGAGAGGTGGCGTCCTTAACGTCAGAGGCAGAAGCAGGCAAACTCAGGACTCTTCCGAAGCTATGGAGCCCTGTCGGGGACACCAAAAGGTGGGCCATTGCAGACGTGGCAGGGGACAGGTAAGGAGGAGAACTGAAGGTTTCAACAGCATTGTCGAGTTTCGTGCTGGAGGTCGAAGGCAAGGGGAACGAAGCAAAAGAGGTTTGGTCAGAGGCATTTAAATTCTCACTGAGTACCCTGACGTCTGCACGCAGGTTCACGAGCAGTTCTTGAGACGGAGGAGTGGCGGCGGAGGCGAGATTTGTATATGGGTGCATCTGCAGTATCCTCTGCACGCATACTTGGAAGTTAAGGAAAACAGGGGAAGATGATATTTCACTGGGAGGGCTTGAGGGCAACGTGCCTGGAAAGAAGGCAAGAAGGAATGACACAGAATAATGGCAAAGGGTCGGCCATGGTGGATGCAAGAGAGGAGAGAACAGCCGGGTAGAGAGACAGAATTAAATGGCCTATGGTTAACCGACATTTATTTAAAATTAATAGCTCGGGTAAAATTCCAATATACTTAATTATTTATGGTTTAAAATTTATCAGTCAGGAGTTTAGGATTTAAATTATCATCTATAGTTTAGGTCCTTTTGTAAATTTCCTCTAAATTTTGCTAAAATTACTAATACTTTTCTTATATTTTAAAAGAAATATACAAATCTCTTGTGAAACAAAACGAAAAACAAAATGTATCAGTATCACCCTCAAGCCTCCCTGATAATAAAATGGAAGTCTGTAATTTCATCTAAATTCAAAGAAGTTTTGTAATTTACTTTTTCTAGCAGAAGGTTTGGGTAAATTTCGAAAATAAAAGACACATCTGTACAAATTTTATCAAATGTCAAGGGAGACCTTTGTTGGTGTTGGAAATAAAAAAGAGGTCTTTGTAATTTCAACAGCAATTGTGTGAGGTCCATGTAATCTACTCTCGTGTTATAAATAACTTGTGCTTTCGGAATGAATTGGTATTCACAATGTCTATCTTTTTTCTTTTTATACGCCCACATAGATGAGTAATGATTGCATTTTATCTCCAGACTTGTGGACAACGCTGCTTGCTATGAAACAGGCTCTGAAACAAGCACCCTCTGCACCATACAGAATAAACCACCTGCAGAGTCGCCCAAGAATTGTGTGCCCGATAGATGCAGTGTTCCAAATCAGATTTCTAGTCCCAATTGCAAATGCGCACAACCATATGAAGGAACTTTATCTTACAAAGCTCCTTCTTATATGACAAACGAAACTTACGTTGAGGAATATCTATTGGAAACATTCCGATCCCACCATCTACCTGTGGACTCTGTTTCTGTGATCACTCCAACTTGCTTTCCATTTCATTGTTTTAAATCCCTCATACGAATCTTCCCTTCAGACCAAGACCACTTCAATCAAACAATGATATCTGCAATAAGTCTGCTACTGAGTAACCTCACTACAATTCAAGCATATTCTTTTGTTCTTGGTCCTAATGACTATGGCAATGGTAACTACTTTCAATCATTTGGTCTTATTCATGTTTTATTACTCTAATGGTCTCTAGAGTTCCACAAATTTTTTAATTTTGAGTCCATATAATTTCAAAAAATAATAATTTGGCCCTTACCTGTGAACCTCCCCGTCTATGGGCTGTGAAAATATATGTTTTTCTTGGTCAACAATGTATTATCTTAGCATTTAAATATGCAATATTTATGCCAACTCAGCCTGGGGAAGTGATGAGATTTGAATCTTCTGAAATTTAAGAGCCTGAAAAGAGATTCTAAAGGGAGCGATAGATAGATGAGAAGGAGACCCAGTAGACTGAATTGGGGTGAATCTTGAATATTCAACGTGTCAGTCAACAGGCTTCCATGACCCTCAAATGAAAGCTTAATGATAAGGGAGGACCAAACTAAGAACTGATTAGAACTTTGAGGACCAACAGAATAATTAATTATCATTTCATATAGAAAAAAGCATTGGTAGTTCTCTATTCAGACTATTTTATGATAGTATCTTGCAATTTGTAAGGACTTGAAAGTTCACGTAAATCATCAAACGCCAGCATCATAATTGGAGCTGCAGTTGGTGGTTCTGTGTTGCTTGCGCTATTTCTTCTAGCTGGTGTCTATGCTTTTTGCCAAACGATAAGAGCAGAAAAAGCAATTGAAGAAAGCGATCCATTTGGTCAGATAGCTTTATTCTACTCAGCTCCTCAATTGCTACTAAATCATATGCAATTTAGTTATATCTGTATATTTGACTTCACGAAATGCAGGACACTGGGATGCGTGTGACAGCAGTGGCGCGAGACCTCAGTTACATGGAGCAAGGAGGTTCTCTCTCAAAGAACTTCAGGAATACACGAACAATTTTTCACAAGCAAATGAGATTGGATCTGGGGGTTATGGGAAGGTATTGATCATTTTCTTTTTAGGAAATAGACTCCAGCCTCTCAAATTCTAGAGGCCCCTCGTTTCTTTTCTAGTTTTTTATTATTCTTTTCCTTCTACCGTAATCTGATATCCAACTTTGGGATGGGATATTACATCTTTGTTTCATAAATAATCCAGTAGATTACACAGACTTTTTCTAAATTTTTGTTGACCTTTCACAGACTTTCCTTCTATAATTTTTTTAATTAAACTTTCCTTTTATTTTTAAATAATACAAATCTCTCCTTTTTGTTAAAAATTCATCAAACCTCCCCTCAATTTCAAAACCACACAAGTCTTTTAATTAGTAAATTATACAAGCTTCCATGAGCTTTTTTGAAATTACACAAACTTCCTATTTATTTAAATTTAAAATGCACAGAAAATATTTTCTGAAAATAGAAGAGGTCAATGTAATTTCAGAATACTCAGGGAAGATCTAGATAATATACTTTATATTTAAAGTGGGGTTTGAGTATGTTTTGAAGATATAAGAGAAGTATGTATAATTTTAGCAAAACACAAGGAGAGTTGATAATTTACTTTCGTTTTAGGGAGATCTTTGTGTAGGTTTTGAAAATAAAAGAAAAATCCATGTAATTTCAATAAAACTTATGGATGGTCAGTTTACCCAAAAAAAAAAAGGGTAGTCCTTGCAATTATCTCTAAATAATATAAGAATTCTCCATCACTTTCTTAAGTATTTTAATACTCTTAAATTTGGACTTAACAGGCTTCTTTTTGAATCCTAAACAGTTAGCTTAGTTGTTAAGGAGAGACAATGTCTCTCCTCACTAATTTAAATTCAAGCTCTCTATAGAGATCAGAGTACCAAGGGAATAATACCCTAAATATACACTAGGTCAATTTTGAGGAGTATGTCCTCTCTCAGGGGGGAATTTAGTTTAAGCCAATCTAATGAAACCCCTAATATAATAATACCCAAAATGAAGTTATTGCGTTTTGGAATCTTCTTACTACGCTTATGATAACATTGGAAAAGTATCAATGATACTTCATGTATTTGGTTCAGGAAACATGGCAGTCTTTAAGCAAGAACTGTTATATGAACAAGCTAGTGACAACGTTATTGTGCGTGTGATATATATTTATACCTACATTGTAATATGTGAATGTCCACAGGTTTCTCGGGGAACTCTTCCCAATGGACAACTGGTTGCAATAAAACGAGCTCAGAAACAATCAAATCAAGGGGCACTTCAGTTTAAATCTGAAATTGAACTCCTTTCAAGAGTTCACCATAAGAATCTGGTCAGCCTTGTGGGATTCTGCTTCGAGCGAGGAGAACAAATCCTGGTTTATGAATTTGTCCCCAACGGAACCTTGAAGGATAGCATCTCAGGTAGAGCATTTATCAGTGGTTTGATTTTGAACCAAAACTAAGGTGGATTAACATGAATGATTTCGCAAAATGGAAGACCTATTTGGATTTTCATTGATTTGGTGTTATTTAGTTCATGTTCTTTTTTTTTCATATTTTTTTCTTTTCTAAATAATTTTAGTTGGACTTTTATGCCATTGCAGGGCTTGAAAATCAATTTCTAGAGTATCAGATCATCATTAGCTTAATGCTTTCTTCAATCATGAATATATGTATGCATGCATGCATGCATGTATGTCTCACCATTGGTTCAATTTCAACCAAATATGACGAAGTCAAAATGACAACCAAACTGATTAGATTTAGTTTTGACATGTGGGAAACTGACACCGACAACATTTTTTTTCTTTGAAACCCTTACAATTTTGTTTCGTTTTGTTCAGTCTGAATTGGTTAATCAGTTCAATTCAATTTTAAAAACTTCTAATCTCAAGTACCTGAAGTAAAGATGCCATACTTGGTTTTTTTTTTTCATTCACGTTTACTTTGATCCTCACCTAGTTCAAGCATCTCTCATGTAAGAATCATAATTATTAGTCCTAACCGTTGTTTATCAAAGGACACATGACTAGTTCATAACATTTTTTTGCACATGATCTACCACTGTTTCAAATCAAAAGCTTAACCTGGTACATGAAGGCTCATGAATAGTTTTAATTGCAATCTCTATCAATGCAAATGGTCTATGCAGGGAAGTCGGGTATAGTGTTGGACTGGACTAGAAGGTTAAAAGTAGCCCTTGGTTCTGCCAGGGGTTTGGTTTATCTTCATGAACATGCCAATCCTCCTGTTATACACAGGGACATTAAATCAACCAACATCTTGCTGGATGAACACTCGAATGCAAGAGTTGCTGATTTTGGTCTTTCCAAGCCTGTGGACAATTGTGAAAAAGATCACGTTACTACACAAGTTAAAGGAACAATGGTTGGTATAATATCTTCTAAACCTTTCTACCATACAAAAAAGCTTTTTTCTTTTTCTCTGACACCCATTTAATCCTGCACTTTAGTTGTATATGGAACATAATAATATGATGGAAGGCATTTCATTAATTCTGTTATTGCAAGTTGTGACCATAACCTTCTTTGTAATGTACTCTTTCGTTTCTGTATATAAGAGAAAAAAAACTATATCACATAGCTTAAGAAAGTTAGTTAACCATAATAATTATGTCTGAAAATTTAAAAAAAAGAAATTAAAATGTCCTATGTTAATCAATATAAGCATGCATTAATTATTTTTTGTTAATGTAAAATATGAGGGGTGATTTAGAAAATGTATAATAAATGCTTATTGAAATCTGTAATTTCGCTTATATAAAAAAAAAATAAGTAAAAAGTGGTAGTTTCTTTTATAAATAAAAATGGAGAAAGTAATTAGTGGGCACAATGAATATATTCAGAGTATAATCTAAATCTTAAAAGGACACAACCTTTTTTACCTTTTTCTAAATGTTTGCTATTTGGTTGTAATAAAAGAGGAAACATGAGAAGGAATGGTTTTGGAAAGAATGTTTAGTTGTGAAGGATATTCAGTTGCCATAATTTTACAGGAGGATTATAATAGATAGCATCAAGTTTTCTCTTCAAAAATATTTTGCATTCCAGAAAATTCATTGAAGTTCTCGACACAGGGCTATTTGGATCCGGATTATTGCACAACTCAACAGTTGACTGAGAAAAGTGATGTCTATAGCTATGGAGTGGTATTGTTGGAGCTGTTAACTGCAAGAAAACCAATACAAGCAGGGAAACATATTGTGAAAGTATTTAGGAGTACAATTGATAAGACAAAAAGATTGTATGGCCTTCACGAAATTCTTGACCCAGCTCTTGACTTAGGATCCCCATTGAAGGGACTGGAGAACTTTGTTGATCTTGCAATGAAGTGTGTTGAGGATTCAGGAGCTGACAGACCGACAATGAGCGATGTGGTGAAAGAAATAGAACACTTGTTGAAGTCTGCTGGTCTGAACTCCACTGCTGAATCATCAGCATCTAATTCAGCTACCTTCGAGGAGTTAAGTAATGCGACTTCCCAAGTGTTCTCAACAGCACTGAGTCTCCGGATTCAAGTTCACTCGACAACGTCAGAAAGATTAAGCACAAGTAAGTCTTCTTTTCACGTTGGAACTGTAAGGCAACTTGTTGATCAAGTGCTGCAGGACCCAAAAGGAGGAACAGAAAAAAGGTGTTTATCAAGAGTATATAGCATTCTAGGTTTTAGAATTAAAAAATAAACTGTAAATTAAGAGTTTTTGAAAGAGAGAATTGTGTATTTCTATTAGAGAACAGTCTAGCAAACATGTTAAAAAAACGGCATCTAATTTTCCTTTCCATCGTTCCTTGATGTGTAAATTATTAGTCTTTGAACATAGAATGCGATTTGATAAATTGGTTTTGCTATGGTTTGCTTGTTTGGTAATTAATGGGAAAAGAGTTATGATTTGCAAGAGGCAGTGGCAGTGTTTGGTGATGAATAATTGAATAAATTACTATTCTTCTTAGAAGATATTTAAATTATATAATGTTTTATTTTAACAATTTTGCTTAAGTTTCTCTCACTTAAATATAATATTCATTTTATATTTTATCTCACAATATATTTCTGTATGTTTCAGTGCTTTTTTTTTGTCAAAATTTTTTTAATCATTTTAAAAGTTACTTCATCTGTTTAAAAATGTAAGGTATTTTTAACTGAATCTTATTTCTCAATAAAATAGTTAACTACTTTTCAACTAATCCTATTTTTTTATATTTACCCCTATTAAATACTCTACAATAAATATAAAGTCATTGTCAATAGGGATACTTTTAAAAAAAGGCAATGATTACTTCTCAAAAGATTAAAAATGCCTTAAATTTTTTAATATTTAACAATTCAAAAAATGTCTTACATTTTTTAATGGAGGGAGTATAATTTATTTTAAACCACAGTTACAAGTTATATAAATTTAACATATTCTAAATACAAAAAAAGACAATCACTACTAACACTAAAGTTCTACCAAATGATAAAATCAGTTTGTAGTCCCAAGGTCCTTAGCTGCAATTTAGTTATTCCGTTGCATTGACTAAAATGTTGATGGTTTGAAAATCAGGAGCCCAGGCAAACTGGTGGTTGAGACTTGATAGTGCGGTGATGGTGAATCTAATTCGGGGCGGCGGACAGAGGATTAGCAAGTGCAAGATCAATGGGGAAGATATCCAAGACTTGAGAAAAAGCAACTGTCATGTATGATATATATAGAATGTCGCTTGATTATCCTTTTTTTGTTTGTTTTCTTTCTCCATCTCATGAGGCACATGTTTCCTTAATTATGCCGACACTGGATAAGTCTTCATGGGGTTCCTGACTTCCTGTTATGTGTACATGGCAAATTTCTCGTGTATGTGTTCGTGAATATACATATCTTACAATAAAATCTCGAGTGCAGGTTGCTAGTTCCTCAAATGCTGATATCAATTTGCTGAAGTTGCTCTCCTTGCTTAAAATATCCAATAAGAGCAGAGATCAGAAATGGAAATAGAATCAAGCTTGCATTATGGTAGTTTGAGTAAAGGGAAATGACAACTTTTGCATAGGATATTAACAACAACAACAATAAACCTTTATCTCACTAAGTGGGGTCGGCTACATAGATTGTAAGATGACATTATGCTCTATCATTTATCAAGCTTTTAGAAATATTATTAACTAAGAGATCACGTTTAACAACTTCTAAGAATATTCTCTTATACCTTTCTCTACCCCTCTTAACAGAACTCAAAGTTATATGTTTCACTCCTCTCACTAGTGCCTCCCGCGGTCTTCTTTGTACATGTTCAAACCATCTCAAATAATTTTCTATCATTTTTTTTTCAATAGGTGCTACCCTTACTTTTTCGCGTACGTACTCATTTTAAATTTTATCTTTATATGTATGTCTGTACATCCATCGTAGCATTCTCATCTCTGCTACTCCAACTTTATATGCTTGTTGTCCTGTGTTAGAGTCCAGCATAGGATATTAACAAGTGAAAAATTTGTAAGGGTAAAAATTTCATGATAAAATGCATTAAGTTATACGATGATAGAATTGACAAGTAATGTATAAGTTATACGCGATTAGAATTGACATGGTCTTTTTTAAATATAAGACAATTTTATTAAATGCATCCCTATTAAGATAAACATTAGGTAGTTAACATTTTAATTTTTTTTTTCTCAACTTTGCCTTTCTTTAAATGGATGAGAAATAGATCATATTAACGCAGGGTTCGAAGTAATTTTAATATATTATTTTTAAAAAAATATTATTTGAAAAAAAAAAAAACACCTTGTTTACTAACTAAAATACCTTGTCACCGGAGCAAGAACGAGACTATGAACATCAGCCTTCCTCCACCAGGACCGCAAACTGACAGAAATTTACTCGGTCAGACTAATGACATTTATGAATTTGAAAAAGTCAATTTTAGCCATTTGAAACCTAGCGGGCAGCGCATGTGCAAGAGGCAGATGGTGGCGACGATGGACGTATAACTGCACAAGGCTCGTTGTCTTGTCACCTGATGGCAATTGAGGCTGATGGTTGGGAATTAAAAGCTTAGGGATAGCCAATTTGCACCACTTGTTTTAATTTGTTGCTTGTGTTTAATTTGGGTTATCTTTTCATTCAATGCCGTCCCCCACACTCCACAAAGCTCTGCACCGGAAGTGACAAAGACGTGTGTCTAAGCTAGTTCTTCCACCCACGAGGCGTTGACTTGGCTGACTCGTGATTTTTCTTTTCCTTCACCCTTTTTGGGTGGGACATTTCACGATGGGAAAATATCATCCGTCCAGAGGAAATTTCAAATTTTAAGTTAGTCTTTTATCAAAAAAAAATATATCAATTTTAATTTAATAATAATTTATTTTAAATTAACAATTCATTTAAATTTTAACAATAACTAATTTTTAATTTATATAAATTTTCTCCGCAATCCTTCATTGTTATTTTTCCTTTCATGGTTGTGCACCTCACTACCCTGCCTGCTGTTGACTTGACTTGCAAAGTTTTGGTTTTTGTTGGTCACTCTTTCAGTATTTTTTTTTTTTTTAACTGAACTAGGAGTAACTGATCACTGTACAGTGATTCTTTCGTACATTTGGTTCGAGAAAGTTAAAAAAGAGTTATGTACAGTGGGTCCCACTGGAAAATGTGACCGATTTGTTTAGGTATCTTGGCATGATTCTGGGTTTACTTATCTTTATAGACTAAATCTCTCTTAGTTTTACCGTGGCCTGCAGCCGAGAGTCGTTGGCCTCTCATGTAACTTGACTAAATGAGACAGACACTAAGGAGGCCTTTCTACTCATGAGGGACACTTGGGCTGAGATATTTAATATTTTCTTCAGCATTTGTTGAATTATACTATATTTTCTTTTTGCTCGTCACTGACTTTTCCATCATTGGCGTATGGAATGGTGAGCGAATTGGGTGGGAGGTTGATAACAAAAGGGTTCTGTTATTCAACATAGAAAAATTATCAGTGTGGTGAGCTCTGGAATGCTAGTGTAGGTTGACGATGGGTGGAAGAATACTGGTATTCATCCTGCTTGTCTGCAATTATTTGCTGATTGCAGTAGCAGACACTGCTACTGAGGATTGTGAGTTCAACCTTAAGGCTATATTCTATCTCTTTTGATATTTTTCTTGAGATCTGAACGCAGTCTTCAGTATAATGTTCATTCACTGATTGTTTACAATCCATAGAATTAGAACTCAGTCTGTAGAAATTTCAGTACCTGAAGCACTGGACCCGCTTTTGTTAGTAGACAGAATGTAGAGGACAATAAATTTGTGTCCTTAAGCTCTAGAACTATACATCAGTTTCGAGTTTTTCTTTCTGAACATCTTCAGTGGGATTTTTGTGACTGTAATGTTATTGATGATGTCTTTGAAACTCTTGATGCAGTGACCGCTCTCAAGTCTCTTATGGATACCTGGCAGAAGACACCTCCCAACTGGGTGGGATCAGATCCTTGTAATGGTTGGGATGGAATTAAGTGTACCAATTCACACGTTATTTCCATGTAGCGTCTCTTTCTAAGTGTTATGCTTGCTTGCTTGCTACCTTGTCCTGGATTTTGCTTTTAAGATGTTAACATGCTTGCTAATATTTCAGATCGTTATCAAGCACAGGTTTGGCAGGCCAACTTTCTGGATATATTGGATCACTATCTGAATTAGAGACCTTGTAAGTCTTTTACCCTTCATATTATCTTCTAATATCTATTCCACACCTAGAGGTTGTGAAACACTTCGCTTCTGTCTATTATCTATAGACAATGGTCAGAGTTCTTTGGATCAACTAGTCTACCCAACATGTATGTGCTAAATCTTTAAAAAAAATTAGAAGAACACAATTTAGAAAGAGATATCCTAAAGGGGGAAAAGGCAAATAGAAAATTATGCTGAAAAAAGATCTCTAATCCCTTTGAATATCGCACAAAGAAACCCGATCACCATGAAATTGAATAACTGAGCACAAAAATCACACGATGCCAGGAGAACAATCCGTTGACAGGGAAGATTAACAAGCAGAAACTGCTGTCTGAATATTTTTGCATTTCACTCTAACCAAGTGCACCCCATGCGTGTAAGAAGAACACAACTCTTGTCTGCAGCACTTGAGCGGTTCAGCCCTTCGTTATCTTAGACATACTGGGAAGTCACATTACAATAACAGGTCTCTTTGTTCTTGATTACTCTCTTTTAATAGGGATTTGTCGTACAACAGGGACTTAGCAGGACCACTTCCCCAAACCATTGGAAATTTGAAGAAGTTGTCAACCTTGTAAGACAGTATTGGCTGTTAAATTTAATAATTTAAATCTGCAAATCTGCATTAGTTTGACAAATGCTTCTTACAAAACAGTTGCTTTTTCCTTTATCTTCCAGAATTCTTGTTGGCTGTAGTTTCAATGGTCCCATTCCAGAAGAAATAGGAAATCTGCAGGAGCTTCTATTCCTGTAAGTAAATTTAACTGTTATTTAGTAAAGACATATGGAAAACTCCATTCAACATGACTGAAACTCAAGTGATCATGAGTGGCATGTTGTTTGTTTTTTGGTATATTCTAGATGTGTCTTTCAAATAACAGTTTATATGACTTTTGTTTCTAATGAAATTACATCCCTTAATTTTTATTGAAATTACAAAAATCTCCCCTCTGTGTCTATAACAATTCAAACCTCTATTAAAATTTACCAAAATTTCATAAACATCCTTTCTATTTTTGAAACTAATTTAGTGGTCCTGTATATATATATATATATATATATGTCCCTCCTTTAGAATTGTGTCGTAACACCTCCCCTGAAACAAAGTGTAAATTACACAAACCTTTCTTGAATTTTGTGGAAATTGGATAGACCCCTTCTCTATTTTTAAAATTATACACAAACCTTTCTTGAAAATAAAAAAAGGGAACAATTGTGTAATTTCAGCAAAATATAAGGAAGATCTGTGTAATTTATTGAAAAAAATTAATCACTTAATCCTTGAAATTTTGACTCAGTTGTAACTCAATCCCTAAACTTTTACTCGTTGTAATTTAATCTTTATAGTTTTAACTCAATTGTAACTCAGCCCCTCAACTTTAACTTTTGCAACTCAATACCTATAGTTTTAATCAATTAAATATTAGTCCCTATATTTTTAAAAATAAATTTATAAAGATTAAAATTATGTTAAAATTTAGGACTAATATTTTAAATTACTAAACTTTTTTAATCTTTATAAGGATTACAAAGATTATAATTCTAAAATAGTTTTAACCTTTATAATTTTATTTTTTTAAATATAGGGACTGATATTTAAATAGTTAAAAGTATATAGATTGAATTGTTAGAGTTAAAGTTAAAAGATTGAGTTGCAAACAGGTCAAGACTATAAGGATCAAATTACAATAAGTCAAAGTTTAGAAAATGAGTTAATTTTAGTAAAACTCTTTGCACAAAGTTTACTATTTTTTTAGGAGAAATTTATATAGGCTTCAAAAATAGAGGGGGAATCCATGCAATTTCAACAAAATTCTTGGGAGCTTCATTTATTTACTTCTTGCCTTTTTCTATCTCTTCATTTTTCGACATTCAAGATTCTGGATTGATGTCTATAATTGTAGCCTAAATCAGTTACTTTCAATTACAGATCTTTAAATTCCAACAAGTTTGTTGGACATATTCCACCTTCTATTGGCAACCTATCTAACCTTTATTGGTTAGACTTAGCTGATAATCAGCTTGAAGGACCCATCCCTGTATCTAGTAGCAGTAAGCCTGGTCTTGATATGCTACATCATGCAAAGCATTTGTACGTCAACTTATTCTGAAATAGTTGGCATAGATTTATGCTCACTATCCGTCTAACATATTTCAAGTTTTCATCATTTACAGTCATTGTGGCAATAATAATCTCTCAGGACCCATTCCTCCTAAACTTTTCAGCTCGGAGATGAATTTGATTCATGTGTAAGATCTAAGAACTGTTTTGATATTTTTTACCCTTTCATTTGTAATAGAGAAAGTAGCATATATATAAATAGTACGTTCCTACCCTTATATTGAGAATGTTATAATATGGAAAATTGCCATGAACTTGTTAGCTAGACATTCATGAGTCACTGTAACTTTCTTATATAACATTACTAATGTCTTTATTATGGAATTGTTAATGTCTCTGGTGAAAATTTATATGAATGATCTTCTCTTTGAAAATTTAAGGAGAGGAGGTAAGAGTAATTTATTGTGATATTTTTTTTTCCTTGGATTTTTGCACTATGGGGACATTACCACTAATGGAGAATGAACATATGCAACTAGGGAGAAAGCAATAGTTTTGAAGGAATAGAGGGGACCTGTCCTGCCCCTCCAAAAGCAAAGGAATCATTAAAATCTCCTCCCCTCCATTGAGCCAAACATTTTCTTAGAAAACTGTGGTGGCTTTCCATTGAAGGAAAGAGAGAAAGTAATGGGGAATGAACACATGCAATTAGGGAGAGAGAAAGACTAAAAAATCACAGGGGATACTTCTTACACTGCCATCTCAATTTCTATGCTATCTCCTGGTATCAGATACCATAATTTTCATAATTCTTATGGATGTTTGAGATGACAACTATATTATTGAAGAACTTATGCAAGAATTTTTGTTTAAATAGTTGACAAGTTATAAATTCATCAATAAGAGATGCCTAAGTTTTTTCTGTTTTGATCTGCCAGAAAAATGAAGACATTGTTTGCCTCCAAGCATTTTGTACACCAATATATCAAACACAAGTATCTTAAATGCCTAAATGAGGGAGACATTATACTAAGCACTTCCTTAATTGTATCTTTTTTTTAAGCAAAATTCCATAATTGTATCATTAATTAAATTTATAAGATCTTGATTGCATTACCCTTCCAAGTTAGATAATGTACATATTTGTGTGAATATCTTGTTGGGCAGGCTTTTTGAAAATAATCAGCTCAGTGGAAGCATCCCCACTACACTTGGACTTGTTCAGAGTCTGGAGGTGGTGTAAGTGTCTATACTATATCCTCATAAAAAGCCATAAACAGAATTAGCTTTTCGCTCGCCTTTTGGCTTTAATCTACCCTTTTGGATACAGGCGTCTTGATAGTAATTCTTTAAGTGGACTTGTGCCTCAAAACATCAGCAGCCTTGTGAAAGTTCAAGAGATGTAAGTAGGGATAACGAGCATTCTAAATACACATTCATTTTTTCATCAAGTATATTATTTCTCGAAAATCAAACATTGTTCACAGAGGTTTCATTCTTATAATTGTCAGGTACTTGTCCAACAATAAGCTTTCAGGATCCCTACCAAACCTTATTGGAATGAGTGTCCTCAGCTACATGTAATCAATAAAGCATTTATGTTCAATAATTACTACTGATATTATTTCATTGTCATTCTAAGTCAATGTTTCTTTGTGACAATGTCTGACTTGTAGGGATGTCAGCAATAATAGCTTTACTTCATGGGATTTTCCATCATGGCTTTCAACTATGCAGTCTCTAACAACGTTGTATGTCTTTTTCTCTGCACTTTCTTGACCCGAGTCCTCCCCTTCTCTCTCTCTCTCTCTCTCTCTCTGTGTTTTCAACCCTTGAATGCGATTATGCATCAACTTTATCCTGCATTGCAGAAAGATGGAGAACACGCAACTTCAAGGGCAGATCTCTTCTTCTTTCTTTGGCCTTCCTAGTTTACAGGCTGTGTGAGTACCGGGCTGTGTTTACTAGTGATAGTTCCAATATAATCGATAACGATAACTCATGCTGAATATTCTGCAATGTGATTATAGGGCTCTAAAAGGTAATGAACTGAATGGAACCTTAGACATTGGCACCACCTACAGCAGCCAGCTGCGGTTTATTGACTTGCGGGGTAATCAAATTGATCAGTTTCGCCAAAGTGATGGTGTCCCCGAAGTCAAGATAATGTAAGCCGTACTTAATAATTCTGGATACTTTTTCTTATTTTCGCATAGGTAGAATTGGCGGTTTAATTACTTCTGAGAAGTTTAATTAACTTCCTGTAAAATATTGAGTAGATTACAGTAACATACATTGGTTTTGTTAAAATAACCTAAACCTCTTGTTTATTTTTATGATTAATACAAGCCTCTCTGAATTTTATTAAAATTCTAAAGATCTCCTTCTATTTTTAAATCCTATTCAAATTTCTTTTTTAAATAAACAGCTAAATTTTATCCAAAAATATAGAGAATAAATTACACATACCACATCTAGTTTTGTTGGATTTACATTAATCAAAGTTATTTTTAACTTTTTTTTTTTTTTTTAAACTGCAGGCTCAAGGGCAACCCAATTTGCGAAGAAAATGGAATGGCATCACAGAATTACTGCTCCGATACCCAAGCCAATGATAACTTATATAAAACACCATTTAAAAACTGTGATCCTGGTACCTGTAGTTTGGAACAGATTCCTAGCCCCAACTGCCAATGCTCCTATCCATATACAGGAGCTTTAGTTTTCAGAGCTCCTTCCTTCTCAGACTTGGAAAACAACACTCACTACACAACCCTAGAGGAGTCTCTTATGCATTCTTTTCAATCTCATGAACTTCCTGTGGCTTCGATTTCTCTGAGCCATCCAATCAAGGATTCGGATCAGTATCTTGAATTGAGCTTACAAGTCTTCCCATCAAATCAAGATCGTTTCAATCGAACTGGGACTTCTAGCATTGGCTTTCTTCTTAGTAACCAGACATTTAAGCCTCCTAAAGAGTTTGGACCATTTTACTTCAATGCAGACAGATATGAGCACTTTGGTAAGTATGTTTTTCAGGCAGTAGTAATAACATTAATTATTGTGGTTGCTCCATTTTAAAATTTTGCTACTTTTTCTTTTTTTTCTTTTTTTTAATTGATTTAGGAGCTGCAGGGCCTAGTAAATCATCCAATACTGGTGTCATAATAGGAGCAGCAGTGGGTGGTTCAATCCTTCTAGTGTTATTAATCCTAGCAGGTGTTTATGCTTGCTTCCAAAAGAAAAGAGCAGAAAGAGCAATTGATCACAACAATCCTTTCAGTATGATAACATTATACTTGGCTACAGTAGTTCTAGTCAGTAGTCACTTTAAATTGAGTTAACTAATATGTTTGATTGCATAAAATACAGGGCGCTGGGATAGCGAGAGCACTAGTGGTTTCCCTCAGTTGAAAGGAGCAAGGCAGTTCTCGTTTGATGAGATTAAAAAGTACACTTCTAATTTTTCTCAAGCTAACAATATTGGAACTGGCGACTACGGGAAGGTCTTGAGCTTTTCTCCCGATTATGTTAAACATATTCCTGTGATTTAGACATTTAACCAAACATCGGATTGAGAAGACTTTCTTCTCATCTGCTTGTCTATTCTTCTCAATAACTCTGTTTTTTTTCTCAAACCTCTACATGTCCACAGGTTTATAAGGGAACTCTTCCAAATGGGCAACTGGTAGCCATAAAACGAGCTCAAAAAGAATCTGTGCAAGGAGCATTTGAATTTAAAGCAGAGATTGAACTTCTATCTAGAGTCCACCATAAAAATCTTGTTGGTCTTTTAGGATTCTGCTTTGAGAAAAGAGAACAAATGCTTGTCTATGAGCATGTTTCAAATGGGAGCCTGAAAGATACTCTCTCAGGTACTTCTATTCATTTTGTTTCCTAATGAAGAGATGAATTTGGACGTCATTTAATAGCTGAATTGAACTATTTTCTTCAATTTCTACCTCATGAGAAGTGAGGTTTTCGAAGATATTTTTTTCCCGATAGAAAATGACAATTTAGAACAACATAATTGCATATCACAGTAAAATTTGGGAGCCTTTGGTGCACTTGTATCATCAAATTTCTCTGGTATTACAATGTCAACATATGAGATATATTATAGTATTAAATATATCAGAAGATTTAGAAAACTTTAGGGTGAAGCTGATGTGGTACCAAATGTCTTCTTACATGGTTGCATATTTATGGCATTTTTAATACCAAGAAAAGATTTTTGACCTAAACGATTCAGATGCATATATAATCTCTTATATCTGATAATATAACTACGGTCTTATAGGGAAATCAGGATTTAAATTGGATTGGATCAGAAGGCTAAAAATTGCCCTTGGTACTGCCAGGGGTTTGGCTTACCTTCATGAACATGCCAACCCTCCTATCATACACAGGGACATTAAATCAAATAATATTTTACTGGATGAGCGCTTGAATGCAAAGGTTGCTGATTTTGGTCTTTCCAAGTCTATGGTTGATACTGAAAAAGATCACATTACCACTCAAGTTAAAGGAACACTGGTCAGTACAGTATCTTTTTAAATCCTAACTGTCAACCAAAGAAAGTGACATAAGCACTTAAGAGAAGATGTATCTAATTTAATTAAGGATTTTTGTTCTTGTTTCAGGGCTATTTGGATCCAGAGTATTACATGTCTCAACAATTAACTGAGAAGAGTGATGTTTACAGCTTCGGAGTGCTATTAATGGAGCTGATAACTGCAAGAAAACCTATAGAAAGAGGGAAATATATAGTAAAAGAGATCAAAAGTGCAAATGATAAGACGAAAAATCTATGCGGTCTTTATGAATTCCTGGACCCCACCATGGATTTAGGGTCAACACTGATTGGTTTTGAGGTGTATGTAAATCTTGCACTGAAGTGTGTGGAGGAGTCAGGTGATGACAGACCTAGAATGAGTGATGTGGTAAAACAAATTGAAAACTTGTTGCTCTTAGCTGGTGCTAACCCCAATGCAGAATCAGCATCCACTTCAGCTAGTTATGAGGATATCAGTAAAGGAAGTTCTCGTCATCCTTACAGCAATGAGTCCCTTGATACAGGTGTAGTGCTTCCAAATCCAAAGATTGAGCCTATGTAAGTATTGTTTTCATATTTAAGGATTGCTTTGTGTGGCCAAAGAAGAAGAAGAACAAAGGACAAGGAGAAAGGTTCTTTGAGTGTGTATATGTTTGTTTTAGTTCTAGATTGAGAATAGTTTGAAGTTAGCTTTAGAGATTGAAGATGGGAATGCTATTGAAGGAAAAGCATTAGCTATATTTCGTTTTAAAAGCTGTGATTTTATGAAGATGTTTTCATGCTTGTACACAATTTGTTGGATGAGCACTTGAATTTGAAAGTTGCAGATTTTGGTGTTTTGAGTCTATTCATGGTTGTATGGCCAAAATAAACCTACTCAGGGTTGTTGGGGGCCCAAAAAAAAAATATACATTATTGTTGGATGACCACTTGAATGTGAAAGTTAAAATAGGTTTAAGGTATTATAATTAGAATAATCATAACAACAAGGTTTGATTGAGTAGGAAAGACTCAATTTCCCTTAAGTTTAGAAGTTTGAACTTCGAAAGTAAAGAAAATCATTTTGAGAGAACTCCGCCAATCATACTATTTAATGCTTCAATATAATCTAATAGTTATGAAAATCATGTGGATGTATAAAATAAAAAATAACCCTATATATTTTTCTTGTTTGAAAAATGAATCAAATTTTAAAAAAATGTTTAACTGAATTTAGTAGTTGTTTTGAGAATTAAATTTAAGAACATCAATTAAATTACGTGATTATTTTATTTAATGGGTTTGCTCTCAATTGTTTATGCTTTGATTAAGATACCTACATAAAAGATTAAGAAAGGGTTTTGTATTAAAAAGCTAGAGTAAGAAAGGTTTGGAGTAGGGTATGTCTTTCGATATAACAAATCAGAAGCATAATTAAGAAAAGGGGAAATATGTCTCATCATGAGATATGACAGTGATCATATAATAGTTAATAATACCCCAAAAATCAATTTTTATTTCAAAATTATTAAAACTTATTTACAAATAACTTAAAGTTCAAAAAACAATCTCAATTCTTTCACAGTGCAACTACAACCAAGCTTGTGTTCTAGACTTCTAATTTATTTCCCCCATAATATTATAAGGCCCAACTGAATGAAAAAAATTGGGCCTCCAGCCCATTGTAAATTAAATGGACCTGATGATGACATGTGGCCTAAACATATTATAATAAAAGACTTATTTTCCAAGATTCGAATCTTCATTAGGAAAAATAATCACATTTAATACTTGACTGTGTTTCGAACAAGATTGTTTTTGATAGAAAGATGTCCATGAGCAATAAAAAAAAGACTTACTTCCCTAATTCAATCTCACACTTGAACTTGACTATATAGTTGACTCGAGCATAATTCACTGCTCAATAACCCCTAAAAAAAAATCTACAGTACTTACAGTATATTAATTGAATGTCCAGTTATATTTGTATTTTAATCAAATATGTTTTACTGCAACTAGAATTTTATTCCCAAAGTAATTATGTATAAGAATCAAATACACATTTGAAAAAGATCTGGTATAACTCTCAATATATCGGATTTGATTGTCCAAATGTTTATGTAATATTTAACAATAAAATCATTTATCAGATTAAATTTAAATCTCTCTTAGCATACATGGTTGTGATCAAGGATTTTTTTGTCATGAATGATCTATAAACACTCTTTTATTCCTAAGACTTACGTTGGGACTGAGGAGCTAGCATTCCAAAAACGAAAGATAAGAAGTTGGATATAATTAAAGTGGCTCCACATTACATCTTAGTATAAAATATTAATATTAAGGTTTGGAGTTTACGTGAGCTTTCACTTATACATATATGTCAGTAACCCAAAACCAGATTTTGATACTACTTATTTGAAAAAGAGGAGAGTCCAGTTCGACCCTAAATCTAAAAAGAACCAGAAAATTAATGCATATAAGTGAACTAGACCATATAATATATGTTAACCTAAAACATTAAGACAATAACTATGATTTGTTTCATTGATATACATATTATATATTAAACTCAATTTTATTCCATATGAGAGACTTTTCTATTTATTCCTACACCAAGATATACCACAAACACTTAACATCCTAACAACTTGCTCTGGCCCTAATGAACCCCAAGAATGAAACTTATATAAACTTTTCACTAGGGAGATAGAGATCGATCTAATTATATCTATCTATTGCTATAAACTTATATAAACTTGTCAAGGATAGATGTACATTGTGGGAGAAATCTTTTTTTTTTTTTCCAGAAAAAACACTTCCTATTACTGAAAAGCAAAATTACACACCACAAAAGAAAAGACCCAACAAACAAGTACAACCCCCCCTTACAAAACATCAAAACAAAAGAAAATCAAAAGAAACAAAAAGTAAAAACCATCTTCTTGCAAACCAAAAGCACACGAAGATGCAATAGTCAGTCCCATGAGTCCTATTATGCAAAACCACAATAACGGCTGGAAGGGGTGATAGCATAAAAACTTGCTCAAACAATGAGCCCACACCCCTGTATGCCAAGGCTGCAAAAAACAATAGCAGCTCCAACAACCCCTCTTCAAGCAAGAAGGAAAACAAACACTGAAAGCCAAACTCAACTCTCAGGTCAACCAAGATCACCATAGGACTAAGCCAAAAACACCCATAGCAGTACCAAATGATCCACAAGAATAGGGCACAAGTAATGTCCACCAAACCATACAAGTCAGAAACAAACAAATTAAAACCAGTAGAAAGAGGAATAACCAATATAACCAAAGAAAATCAACATTGTTGGAGAAATGTTGAGAAGCTAAAAATAAGTGTTAAAATTATGTGAAAAAGTTTATATATTTTTTGGTTTACAAAATAATTTGACTGCATTTATAAAAGAGTACAAACATACCAATTATATAAGTGGGGTATGGTGGAAAATGAGGATTGGAAAGAAGAGAAAGAGAAACAAAAAAAAAACATTAAATAGCACAGCTATACATAAAAACCGAGAGTACAAACATTTATTTATAACAAAAAACTCATCGTCTTCTCACTCTCTCCACCGCTACGTATTACTCCCTACACACCATTTACTTCATCTTCCCCACAAACTAATTCATTTTATTTTTGTCTCTCAAGCTCACCATGCAAGCTGAGTTACATCACAAAAAATATATTGTACGTACTTTGATTATATACTAAGTTAGCCAAAATATGTAATATATATGAAAATATATAATATACTACTATACTATATCATGCATGCACGCAGTTCACAGAGAGTTTGATAATTTTTTTATGTAATGTGAGATCCACATCTTAGAATTACACTCCCACTAATTAATGAAAATTAAATATTTTTTAAATCATTGATTCATCTTAGTGTGTGTGGGGGTGGGGGGAGGGGAAAGAGAGAGAGAGAGAGGGAGGGAGGGACGAAGAGAGAGACAAACACAAGAGCAATAAGTCAAAGAATAACCATCATCAAGCTCGTTAAGAGAATCACGAGATGCTTGTCCCTCTCTTCTTAATTGCGGTCCTCTTTAGCAAAGACCCACCACACACTCTCTGCAACCAAACAAGCCCTACCTCTAACACTGTACACACACACACACACATATTCCTGTTCTTTTGAAGACTACTTTTGTCATTCATAGTCGGCAGAATCAACGATGAAAAATTACAACTTTTATATGGTGGTCAAAGTCCTTCAATCTCATCTGGCTAACAAAATGCAGTGACACACAAATATGTAGAATGATGATTAACGTTAATTGAATTTGTAGATAAAGCAGATGATTAGCTTAATCATATTTAAAGTAAAAAGAAAAAGGAAAAGAATTGTGGAGAAAACTAGAATAAAGCAGTGAGGAGTTAGTTGGGAAGACATGTTAAAACAGAAAAAGATGAATGAATAGATGCAGAGAGTCAAGATGTGGTCAGAGGAATGAGATGGTCAAACCCTTGACTAGTCTCTTCATTTTCATTAATGATTTTTATCCAACGCTTTGTTTGTGGGCCCCACCTCTGCCTCAACCTTTGTCCTTTCTATTTTTTCTTCATGTGCACCGGGTATCCGAAATTCTTCAAACCCCAACTAATATGGATGAGGTCAGATCAGAGATTAGATGCAAGGACAGCAAGTTCTTCTGACAAGTTCTTTAAACTCGAAATTTTTAGTTAAGTTAGCATAACCCCTGACCATTTTATCTACTGGGTGGTTGGTTCTTTTCCATCTTCTCCCAACTACACTACACACACTCTTCCTCAGTCTTAACTCATCATCATATCACTCACTTCACCAAATTTAGCTTTGAATTATACTAATTACTACGAATTTTCGTTATGCTTTTAGTATAGTTCATGAATTAATTTTCAGTTGAATCTTATCACAGAATGATTCGAGCATCTGGTTTGATCCATATATATATATATATATAATTAAGCGAAATAACATATCTGTTTGAAATTAGGTCCAATAATGATACATGCAATAATAATTAAGTGATATACACAAATCAGAATTGAAAATTAAGATCCTTGTCGATAACTTTAGACTGAATTAAAATCAAGTATTGCTGCGTTGAATTCAAGTCATAGATTATCTCTCTCTCTCTCTCTCTCTCTCTCACATGTATAGACTATTGTCAAACCCAGAAAGTAACTGAGCTTAGCTTCATCAATGGTCCAGTAGTAACTTCAAAAAGAGTCAGATCGATGATGCGTCCTATTCTCTTCTGATCATGTTCGTATTGTGAACGTGAGAAGTTTCTTCACATTTGTCCTATGAACACTTTAATTAGCAGTACAAATATTTTATTACTGTCTATCTGACAGGTCTTTGTGCATGCAGGTGTGTGTCTCCTTAATTAAAATGCTTCCAATTGCTTTGTTTCAGAATATGCTATTTCATCAGATTAAAGTCAAAGATTTATCAAGAGAAGCATATATATATATATAGAATTAATAATACCAAGAAAGTTCTTTTAACTTACTTTTATGGTTATATTTATAATAATATATGCATGCTTTCAAATGTTGTCGTTTCATCCTCTTAATTAATCAAACGAGCCTTAATTATAAATGGAACCCATCCTGTATTTCAATACTATCGAGTGCTATACATTAAATTAAATTCGAGCATCAATGCACAGCTTAATTGGAAACAACTTTTTCTATGTAATTTTTGTCTATCTATAAAATTATAGCTATTGACCTTATTTTAAAGGGACCAAATCATTATCACTGAGCACCTGAATCAACTGGCATATGGTTGTTACAGCTTAACCAATGGTTTTAAGTTCAACTCTTAAAAGCATCGTTAAAATTCTGTGG